CATTGGGTTGTTGTGAGTTTTCCGGGCTTTATGGCCATATTCTAGAAGCATTCCTTCCTGATGTTTTGCCCACATCTGTGGCAGGCATCCTCAGAGGTTGTGAGGTCTGTTGAAAACTATACAAGTGGATATTCCACAGACCTGACAAGGGTTCTTTCTCCCACCCTGGACATTCCACAGATATATATAAACCCCATTTTCCTAGTTTCCAACAGACCTCACAACCTCTGAGGATGCCTCCCATAGATGTGGGTGAAACATCAGGAGAGAATGCTTCTGGAACATGGCCAGACAGCTTGGAAAACTCACAGCAACCTATTTCCCAAACTGAACCCCTCTTCACATTTCAAACTCACCTTCTCCCAGTATTCCAAACTCATCTCCCCCACAGCTTCCAAACCAATTTCCCCCATTTCCTAACATGATCTCCCAAACTGACCTTCTCCCAGTTTCCCAAACTGGCTTCCTCCCCATTTCCAAAACCAAACCTGACTTCAGTTTCCCAAACTGACCCTCTCTCCATTTCCCAAACTGACCTTCTCTCTATTTCCGAAACTGATTCTCTCCCAGTTTCCTAAATCGATCCTCTCTCCACTTCCCAAACTCACCTTCTCCCAATATTCCAAACTCACCTTTCCTACATTTTCCAAACCACCCCCCATTTCCTAACATGATCTCCCAAACTGATCTTCTCCCAGTTTCCCAAACTGGCACCCTCCCCATTTCCAAAACCAAACATGACTTCAGTTTCCCAAACTGACCCTCACTGTATTTCCCAAACTGACCTTCTCTCTGTTCTCCAAACTGTCTCTCCATTTCCTAAACCAAATCTCTCTCTCTATTTCCTAAATTGACCCTCTCTCCACTTCCCAAACTCACCTTTCCCCAATATTCCAAACTCACCACCTCTATGTTTTCCAAACCACCCCCCATTTCCTAACATGTTCTCCCAAACTGACCTTCTCTCCGTTTCCCAAACCAACTTCCTCTCCATTTCCCAAACCAACCTCATTTAAGTTTCTCAAACTGACCCTTTCTCCGTTTCCCAAACTCTCCTTCTCCCAAAATCCCAAATGCACTTCCTTTACATTCCCCAAACTGACCCTCTCCCTGTTCCCCAAACTGACCTTTCTGCAATTACAACCCTGCCTCCCTTTGGATTTGCAAACAGACTGCCAAATTCTCTCCTATTTTTGCCCAGTAGATTTCCCTCTTGACTTGAGTTGATTTGTTATGTTTTTTTGAGTCCTGCGTGGAATTTGAACAGGGGGGTCTTGGTGAGTGTTGTGCTTTGTTTTTTTTCCAGCAGAGCAGCATCTTTTCGCTGTTTTTCTTCCTCTCCCCTTTGCTTGTCGAGAATCCAGGCTTTGGTCCTAAATCTGACCTTGTTTTCTTCTACCGTTTTGGAGCTTGAGATATTCATGTTCCTTAGGGATTTTAGGGGGTTAGTGGTAGTGAAGGGGTTGAGCTGGCAACCCAGATGACTCACAGGTTGGTTTGCAGGGAGCCAGGTGATGCCAAGGAAAAGAAAAGGAGGCGGTGGGAAGCCCCTCAGACCCAAACTACAAATATTTGGGGGCTACTCTTCAGTGCCCGAGCAAAGAGTGCAATGCGGAGGGAAGGCACCGCAGAGGTCTGGCTTGGGCAGGGGTCCAGTTGGCCAGTGACCTTGGTCTGGACCACTGACGCTTTTGATTTCAACAGTTTACAGTCTGATTGGTGGCAGCAGATCTCTAAGGCCTTTATACGATTTGTGATATGATTCAATGATGTCCAGAAACGTCATTACATAGACCTTGAGTGCATCTTAACTCAAGGCAGTTTGACAGCTCTTGGTCCATATTATATTCTTCTTGCCTTACCAAACGACAACTCCCAGGCTTCCCTCGCATTGAGCCGTGTCAGTTTAAAGGCTGTCAGACTGCATGAATTCTGCAGATCAGTGGTTTTCAACCTTCCTAATGCTGTGACCCCTTAATACAGTTCCTCATGTTGTGTTGACGCCCAACCATAACATTATTTTTGTTGCTACTTCATAACTGTAATTTTGCTACTGTTATGAATCATAATGTAAATATCTGATATGCAGGATGTATTTTCATTCACTGGATCAAATTTGGCACAAATACCTGATAGACCCAAATTTGAATACAGGTGGGGTTGGGGGAGGATTGATGTTGTCTTTTGGGAGTTGTAGTTGCTGGCATTTATAATTCACCTACAAGCAAAGAGCATTCTGAACTCCACCAACAATGGAATTGGCACACAGAACTTCCATGACCAACCGAAAATACTGGAAGAGGTTTGGTGGGCATTGATGAGTTTTGGAGTTGTAGTTCACCTTTACATCCTCATGAGAGCTATAGCTGGGGCACTAATGCTATTGATGGAAGCTGACTACGCGTTGGCATTGAATACTGCATATGCTCCAT